ATGTTTAATAAAAGTTAAAAAAAAGTAGAGTGTCCTGTTGGCCACCAGATGGTGCCTGAGCCAGGGAGCAGTGAGGAAGAACAGGGGGAGGTTGTCCCTGACATACGGATGCGGAGGGCTAATAGGAGAAGGCAGCAGCTGTGGAAACAGGCTCGCAGAAGGAAATAGGACACAGGTGGTTACTGATTGGCCCCTCCCAGAGAGCTTATAGGTGGAGCGACGGGAGGGGAATTTTGCAGGAAACATCAGTTTAAGTTTGAAGAAATCCGTGAATTCCGTGAGTCTGGTTTTTCATAGAGATAGGTTTCTGGGCTCCTAGCCAAGGGGTGGCTTATCTACTTCATTAGTCATGGCAGATGGCCAAGCTGGCATCAGTATAATTTGGAGGCTTGGGGGACAGAACACAACAGTAGTGTTTCACTTAACCACTCTGGCAGGAAACGTCATAAATGGGTCAAAAGTCACTTCAGAAATGTCTCGTTAGCGACTTTTGGGCTCATTTGATGTCATAACCTGAGGACAAGCCGTATTGATTGATTTTATCAATCATGTGTAAACAACACACATACGTATCACAGGGGTGGCCATCTTGTCTTTTTCGAAAAGCCCATGCTCCCCTGCCTGTCTGGGTTCAATCAGAGATGAGAGGTAGTCCCCGACTTATGGTTAATTGATTAGCGACTGTTTGAAGTTCTAAAATATCCAGTGGTAGGTTTCAAATTTTTTTACTACCAGTTTTGTAGGCGTGGCTAGGTGAGCATGTGACTGATGGGCGTGTGACTGGGTGGTCACGATCCTAGTTCCCACTATGAGGATTCCCCCATCCAAACCTTTTGCAATTCCCTAAAGCAGTGACGGCGAACCTTTTTTGGCTCGCATGCCAAAAGCGGGGGGGGGTCGTGCGCGGGCGTGCCACACCCATATTGCAATACGTGACCCCAGTGCACATGACCAATGCTCCCCCATTTTTTGCATGCTTTTTTCGCCCTCTGCAGGCTCCAGAGGCTTTATAGGAGCCTGGGGAGGGTGAAAACAGCACCCCCGGAAGGCCCTCTAGAGGCTCCAGGAGCTTCCCGGAAGCCTCCGGAGCACAAAAAATGACCCTACGAGCGTCCTCTGGAGCCTTCAGGGACCTTCAGGAGGGTTCCTGAACTTCCGGTTTGCCTGTAGGGCCATTTATTTGCGCTCCAGAGGCTTCAGGGAAGCTCCTGAAGCTTCTGGAGGGCGGGGGGAGGGTGTTTTTGCCCTCCTCAGGCTCTTATAAAGCCTCTGGAGTCTGGGGAGGGCAGAAAATGGCCTCAAAAAAAGGCTGAAGTCAGCTGGCCAGCGCGCACATGTGCGCTGGCCAGCTGACAGGGCAACACCTTGTGTGCCCTGACAAATGGCTCCGTGTGCCACCTCTGGTACGCATGCCATAGGTTTGCCATCCCGGCCCTAAAGGGTCAAAGGAAACCAGATTCCATACAGCTCTGAACCCTTAGGGCAAACCAAATACAAGTGGTCCTTGCTTAATGGCCAGTTGCTTAGCAAGTGTTCTAATTTACGACTGACCTCCCCAGAGCTACTTGACCTGTTTTTGGAGTTTTGACAGCCATGCTCTTATCTCTCTCTCACACACACACACACACACAAACACAGAGTTCTCCAGTATTTCTTTATCCAGAGACACTCATTATGATCATCTCCGTCTCCATCCTCCTCTCGTAGAGATGAGCTAAGCCTACCATTAGGCTTTCTGCACTCATTTCTTTTTTCCCCAAAGCTGGGAAGTTAAGTAGAAAACCAGGGAGATAAGAAGAAAAACAGAAACTCTACTGTGATACATGGTAATCTTGTTTCCTTTGAAACTCTGATGCATTTTCTTCCCACTCACCCTCACATGCATATGCTAAGATGTGCATGTCTCTCACCAAACATGCTGATGTCCTCTTTTAAAACAACATGAAACCTAGGGAAATATCCTTAAGCACCTTTAAGATCCAAACCTTGTTAAAGCGTGTTAAATAACAAGCTTGGAAAGATCTGGACTCAAAAACCTGTAGGAGGAGGGCTTTAAACCAGAAAATTTAATGTTCTACAGAATGAGGAAGGAGAGCCATTTCATTGAGGGGTCCTTGGTACTCTCTGAGCTTGGTTATTTTCTTGCAGATGTTTCATGAATCAAACTAGCTAACATCGTCAGTGTGCACTGATGATATTACCTAGTTATGTTTATGAAACGTCTGCAAGAAAACAACCAAGCTCAGAGAGTACCAAGGACCCCTCATTTCAACCATGAGGTACAAATATTCTTCTTTATTGGAGCCATTTCATTTTCATATATTGTCATAGCAAGAGAGAGGAACCCACAAATGTTTACTGCTACCATTTCTAGGATCGAGACTCTTACTGGGTGTGTAAGGATTTATATTCACAGCTTTGGATCTGGTGAAATAGATCCGGTATCACTGTAATGGCAACAGCATGGAATAATCTCATTTACGAACAGACCTTGCTAAGAAGCTTTCCAACACAATTCTATGACTTCAGTTTCTCCCTCTCTCTCACACGCGCATGGACACACACAGCCAGCCTTCCACGACGGACCCCTTCCCGGGGAGCAAAGGAAGAACTTACTGATGGTGAATTCTAGAGAGGCGGCGGCAGTGGCGGCAGGAAGAGCGCTCCAGAGCGGGGGAAGCGGCTCTCCGGGAGGACAGCCCTCGGGGCCCGGGGAAAGCATCTTTTGTAGCACAGTGAAATTAAGCAGCCATGAGCCACACTTTGCTCTAAGCCTCATCTGGAAAGTGCTGCAGGCGGCAGAGGGAAACAGCATGAAACCTGGGTGCTTCTCTCTGCACAGCGCTTTCCGGATGAGACTTAGAGGAAAGCGTGGCTCATGGCTACTACATCTCACTGTGCTGCACAAAGCGCTTTCCCAGCAAAAACAGCGAAGGGGAGAAACAGCCAGTGGAAAGCACATGGAGCGGCTCTATGTGTTTTCCAGGTCAGCGGCTGTTTCTCTCCTTCGCTGTTTTTGCTGGGAAAGTGCTTTGTGCAGCACAGCAAAATTAAGCAGCCATGAGCCGTGCTTTCCTCTAAACCTCATCCGGAAAGCGCTGCAGGTGGCAGAGGGAAACAGCATTCAACCTAGGTGCTTCTCTCTTCGGCGGGGCAAGTGGGCGGGGTCACCCAGAATTTTTACTAATGGTTCACCTGAACCGGACCGGCTGAATCCCACCATTGAACGTATCCCAAGAAATGGTTGAGAAGTTATGACAGTGCCCTCCTCCAAGGTCATGTGACTGCGGAGGTGGCACTAAGCCACCGACCCATGTTTACAGCCATTTTCAGCCTCCCAATTATTTCATTTCCACTAAAAAAAACAGTGTTTACTTCCAATTTTTGGAAAAGATGATCCATGGCCAATTATGGGTTCGCTTAATGACCTCAGCATTCGTTTAACAATCTCAGTGTCAGGCCTGCAATTATATTCCTTTTAGAATTTTGGCCTGCCACACTTTCTCTTATTTCATTATGCTGTTTCATTAGTATAGTTGATGGGAGGGGGGAATAGACAGGAGTAGGATTGTGGAATGTATTGTTGTCATTCTTTACAAGAAGCCAAGGTCATCTTTTGTCTCCGCACTTTTACACCTGACTGGAAGCAGCTGGGTGGAGACGCCAGCGTGGAAGAAGATTGGACCATGTGATGGATTGTGGGTGTGGGGACAAGATCATGAACTTTTAACTGGGTGGAATTCTGATGTAATTTCCAGAATTGGGATTAACACAGATGTGCTAAGATGTCTGCTTTATTAAATTGGAACTTTAAGCATCGTTTTGCCTTGGACTCTGATTTAATTCTACATGATACTTGGAACGCTGACATTCAGTTTCAGTTAAATGCTGCAAAATAACAGGTCGTAAAACTAGGTTGGCCGTGAGCACAACCGGCTCTACGACCATCATGATGACCGGAATGGACGGACTCTGTTGAGGTTGTAAGTCGAGAACTGCCTGTAGTATTTTCCTTCCCAGAGGGAAAATTTGCTGACAAAGAAACTCACCCAGATGTCAAATTTGCCCGGGAAGAATCTTTCGGGAATACGAGCCGCATAGAGTCCAGCTCCCGTGATGTACATCACGGCCATCAAGAAGAACCATCCCATTTGGCCCACGGTGGTAGCCTTGGCGAAGCCCTCCGCAATGGTGAAATGCATTGTGGGTACCACACCACTCAGGCCCAGCCCGAGGAAGACCCCTAAAACCGGAAAGAGACACCCATCAGTATGCGAGGAAAGCGTTCCTGTCAAAGCTTAGCCTCGAATATCTACTCCTCTTAAAGCATGCCGGCTGGGGGAGTCTGGGAGTTGAATTTTGGGAAAAGGAAGATGGCTGGTTTCCCAACCAATTCTCTTGCTGCCCCACGTGCAAATTTCACCCTGTTCTGAAAACAACATCCATACCTGCTCGGGTCTGCCTGTGTTTGGGAGTGGCGAAGCGATCCCACTGTGCGACAATAATGGCAGAGATGCCGAGGACGCAGACGATGGACAGATAGATGAGTCGTGGCTGGGGCGAGCAGTAGAAGGAGTAGTAAAGCCACGGGATGAAACTCCCCATAATCAGCAGGGCAATTCCTGAGTAGTCCAACCTATGATGAAGAGTGTCATTAAAAGAAGTGTCATTAAAAAAAGTCCAAGCCTTTTTTGACTTACAACTGTTTGCTTAACATACACAGGCAGTTACAACAGTACAGGGAGTCCTGGACTTATAACAGTCCCTTTAGTGACCGTTCAAAAGGGGTTGGACTAGATGACCTATGAGGTACCTTTTCCAATCTTTGGTTATTCTGCCAGATTCACTTAACTTGAGGCGTCATCTCGACTTACAACAGTTCATTTAGTGACCATTCGGAGTTATAACAGCACTGAAAAACGTGAGTTATGACTGTTTTTCACACGTATGGCCATTGTTCAGAGTTATGAGCGATTTTCACACTTATGACCATGGTCATGTGCGCAACATTCAGATTCCCTGAGTCATGTCATCCCCATTTGCTACCTTTTTACAAGCAATGGGGAAGGCAGTTTCACTTAACAACCATGTGACTAACCTCTTAACGGCAGTGATTCACTTAACGATGGCAGAAAGACAGGTCGTAAAACAGGGTAAAATCCACTCAATAAATATCTCTCTTAGCAACAGAAATTTTGGGATCCATTGCGGTCATAAGTCAAGGATTACCTGTACTGAAAAAAAGGGACTTGATGATTGTCACATGATCAAATCTCCAGCGCTGGGCAACTGGCTCATATTTATGATGGTCCCAATATCCCAGGGACCTGTGATGGCGGTTTTACAACCTTCCCCGCCGGCTTCTGACCAGCCAAGTCTACAGGGGAAGCCAGAATCGCTTAATGACAAGGCGACTCACTTAACAACTTCACAGATTCGCTTAACAACTGTGGCAGTCCTTGACTCAGGACCACAACTGAGCACATGATTTCCATCGCTGAGACAGCCGTTCAGTGAGATTTGTTTCATTTTACGACATTTCTGTGCCGCAGTCATTCAGTGAATCCGGCTTCCCCGTTGACTCGGCTTGTCAGGTCGCCAAAAGGGAATCATGTGACCCCCCCCCATCATAAATATGAGTCAGTTGCCAAGCATTCAAATTATGATCACATGACCTTAGGGTTGCTGTAACTGTCGTGTGAAAAACGGTCCTAAGTCTCTTTTTTTTCAGTGCCGTTGACCTCTGGGACGCCGTGACCGCCATAAATAGGAGTTGGCTGCCAAATGTCTAAGTTTGGATGACAAGGATGCCGTCATGGTGAGAAGTCGCCTTTTTCTTCTTCAAGTGATGTGACGTTGAACGGTTGTTAACCAAACCATTGTAAGTCGAGGAGTACCTCCGAAAACACAAAGGTACCCCAAGACATGGACCTAGGGAAGCCCATCTGTGCACACTCACTTGGAGAAAGTCCGCGACACCTTCTCTGAATGACAATAGACGGTGTGGAACAGCCAAGAGAAGCTGAGACATAGCACAGCACCTAGGAAGAACATCCCAAAAACCACCTTCTCCTGCAGTGGCGCCAGGAAGTACATGTTGGGACGCAGCATGGTCAGGACCCCGAGACACAGGAAGAGCACGAAGCCTGTTGGGGAAGAGGAAACAGGGTGGGTTAGTGAGAAGTGACTTTGGGCCAATCACCAGGAGACTGGGAGTTCTAGTTCGGCCTTAGGCATGAAAGTTGGCTGGGTTAGTTTGAGCCAATCACCAGGAGACTGGGAGTTCTAGTCCTGCTCCAAATCCGACTGCATTACTTTGTGCCAATCACCAGGAGGTGGTGAGTTCTAGTTCCGCCTTAGGCATGGGAAGCCAGCTGGGTGACTTTGGCCCAGTCCCCCCCTCTCTCAGTCCAACCCACCTCACAGGGCCGTTGTTGTGGGGGGGGGGGGAAGACCATTGGCTTACCTGAACGTTCGTTCTATGTGCATTGTGGGAGAATCCAAGCATGGGTTAACTTTGTCCATTTGCCTAGAGCAGCGTTTCTCAACCTGTGGGTCCCGACCCCTTTGGGGGTCGAATGACCCTTTTACAGGGATCGCCTAAGACCATCCACCTCCACCAGCATCGCCCATGCTCAGGAGTGTGTCCTGAAGCGGCAGATGCATGAAGAGCGGCAGGTGCATGAAGAGCGGCAGGTGGCGAAGCAGCCTCCTCCTGGCGCCTCCAACCCAGACACCGCCCTGCCCTGTCTCCACGCCAGGGAAAGGCCGAGGCGCTGAAGGGGGAGACAGACGGGTTAGTAACACAGTCGTTAAGTGAACCTGGGTTGCCCAGTTGATGTTGCTTGTCAGATGGTCTCAAAAGGGGATCACGTAACCCTGCGCTACCACCACAAATATGAATCTGCTGCCAAGCATCTGACTGTTGATCATGTGACCACAGAAACGCTGTGACAGTCGTAAGTGTGAAAAACGGGCATCAGTTGCTTTTTAAACTTCTAACTGCCGCTAAACAAACTGTTGTAACTCAAGGATGACCTATGTTCGTTTAGAGTTTTAGGGGAAATGTGACTTATGATAAGTCCTCGCAGTTAAGGCAGTTACATGCTCGCCGTCTTCAACCTCTCAACAAGCAAACTCAATGGGGATAGCAAGATTCACTTAGTGATGATTCGTTTAACAACTGTGGGGAAAAAATAGAAAATAAAAAGGTCCCCATAATTGGGTTGCAACTTCATCTAGATCAGAAAGGATCTCTTTCTCCTTTGTTCTTCAGATGGGAAGAAAAAGCTGTTGCAAGGGCAACATTTGAACTCGGCTCCTGGCTGGTTTAAATTTCTCAACTTTGGACGGACAAAGGAAAGGAAAACCATAGGGAGGAAAGGAATTACCTTTGGGTTTTTTTTGGGGGGGGGGTGTTAGACCTCGCTTTGAGGAAAGGATTGCTGGTCTCACCAAGCAGGTGGGTCCAGATGTTTCCGGTCTCGGTGTGGATGCGAAAGATGCTTTTGAAACAGGCACGGAACGATGGCATGGGTGGTCGATGTCCATGAAGCAAGTAATCGTTGTCTTTCAGCCAGTCAGGCAGGACATCGTAAGGGATGACCCGCCATCGGCCTTCCCAGACCTGCGACGCACAAAAACCTGCCTGGTTATGCTCACCCAGCCCACTGAGCTCGGCCCACCTCATAGGGGTGGCATTGGCTCAGCTCTCTAGGAAAGCCTGAGTGACGGGCTGAGTCAGATTCCTCTCCCACCCACCCCCCACCCCCGAAAGACCACTATCAAATTTGCCCCAAAGAGAGACAATCGTGCAAGAGGACACAACAAAAAATATGGAGTCCTCAGTTTATGACCAAAATGGAGCCCAGGATTTAGGTTGCTAAGAGAGAAATGTGTAAAGTGGGTTTTAGACTTTCCTTGCCACATTTCTTAAGTGAAGGTGTTAGTCACATGGTCATTAAGTGAATCGGGCTTCCCCCTTGACTTGGCTCGTTAGAAGGATGCAAAATGGCAGTGCAAACATCATAAATATGAACCGGCTGTCAAGCACCTGAATGTAAATCGTGTGACCACAGGGATCGGTTGTTAAGTATGAAAAACAAGTCATTTTTTTCAGTGCCATCGGAACTTCAAATGTTCACTAAATAAACTGTTGTAAGTCAAGGACTACCTGTACAGGTAGCCTTCAACTTACGACCACTCATTTAGTGAGCAAAGTTACAACGGCACTGAAAAAAGTAACCTAGGACCTTTTTTCCCACTTACGACTGACACAGCCTCCCGTTGATCAGAATTTGGCTGCTTAGCAACTGGTTCAAATTTCTGACATGGGATGAACTTATGAACCGTAGTGATTCACTTAACAACCATGGCGAGAACGGATGCAAGAGGGAGCAAAGCTCGCTTAAAACGGCAACGATTCCCTCAACAAGGTGGTAACATGGGCAAAGCTCTCTTCGCAACCGTCTTGCTCAGGAACGGAAAACTTTGAGACTCCGTTGTACATCGAGGACTCTCGGGATAGTGTCATCCCCAACATGCGCCAGGGCGGGAGAAGTCAATTTTTTCCCCGGCCTTTTGCACAGCTTATACAAAAGCCGAGTTTGGTGTTTCTCAGGCACGGAAAGTATAGTGGAAATTCTCATAATCTCCCCCTTTGATGCTGCCTCTGTGCTCAATTTTTTCTTGAGAGAAAACTAGAAATGTTCGTCAATTGCTGTGAGAGCTTTTCTCCTTCCTTCGAAAGAGGAACCAGGCTTCCGGTCTGGCGTCACGCCGGAACGAGCTGCTGACAGATTCTCTGTTCGGTTCGCCCGGTCTTTCCACNGAGTCCCCCCGGGGAATAGGGCGGCATACAAGTTTAATAAACCATAACCATAACCATGATATTTGGAACGTTGACAGTAGCTTTCTTCACCAAAAAATCAAGACAGGCACAATCAACTGATCCACAACAGTCACTAGCACTACCAGCAGGTGAACCAGAACCACCAATGACAGCACCACCAGCACCAGCAGGTGAACGAAAACCACCAGTGACAGCACCACCAGCACCAGCAGGTAAACCAGAACCACCAGTGACAGCACCACCAGCACCAGCACTACTAGCATGACCACTTCCACCACTTGAAGTTGGAGAAAGCAGCAAGTCCACCTCCTCCGCTGAAAGTCTTCCAAAACTTCCTGACTGCTGGAGTTTGCAGCAATACAGAAACTTCAGGAAGAAGTATGATTGGCTGGCAGTGTCCGACAAAAAGTTAATTTGTGAGTACTATGCAAAACACAGGTTCTCATTAAAGAAAGGTGTTCGTGTTTCCAGAGAATAGAAAAATTTCCAGGTTGAGTCAGCAGGAACAAATAAGGAGAATCAGCAAGCATCTCTCAAAAAAAATATATGAAGGAACATTTTCAATCAAAATCACACATCATTTGAGAAGAGAACATTAAACGGGAGCAGGATGCTTTAACCAAATCTGTAGATGAGTCAACAGGAAAACATTTATCCACTACTAGCACAATATTTTTTACAGTTTACAATATGGCACAAAGATATAAACCATTCTCAGACATTGAAGGGCAGGTAGATTTTCTAAGTGCAATTGGAGTAGATCTGGGAGTAGGCTTGTATTCAGAGAGATCCACAGTGAAAACAGTTGAATTCATTGCAAACAAAATTAAAACCACTGTGTTTGCCAGCATTATTGCAAAGAATCTGAAAGTGTGTTTGACAATTGAGCTTTTTCTGCTGTGGCCCTTGCCTTGTAGAACATTCTGGAGATTAGAATGGCCCCAAATCTGTTAGCTTTTCACAAAGCTTTAAACACTTGGCTATGTATCTGGGCCTGGGGCTCAGAATGTGTTAAGCAGCTCTTACTTGGCTTTACTATTAGTTGATTAATGGTTGTTTGTACTTATTTATTTTGTGGATGTTTTTGTTTTTGTTTTAATGTTTAAATTGTTTTAATTATTTTAGAACTTTAGAACTGTAAGCTTCCCGGAGTCACTTGGTTGAGTTGGGCAGCTATAGAAATTAAATAAATAAATAGCTCATATCCTCTTCTCCTTCATTATGTAAGCAGAATACAGGCAATTGGAGCAAGAATATTTGTGGTTAATATTTAATATAAAAATAATAGATCAGTCAATAGAGTTCCTGGCTAGAAAATACGTGAAGAGCAACAGAGAAATAACTAGTGACAAAATCAATTAATAAATTATGAAGCACTGCCAGACATTTCCTTTCTGAACTCCAAGATAATGATTGTTTGCTCATTTGCAATCCTCATAGATGCTGCAGAAAGCAAAGCTCCCTCTTTCTTCCATCCAAATGATGCTGAGTAATGTGACCATCCATTTTCATTACATATGAGTAGAAGCAATCATTTACAAATTGGCTGCATTTATCAATCACCAAGAATCTTGCATTTGAAACTAAGCATGTTGTATACTCACCTAAAGATCAAAGTAGAGATCATATCCCAAGTTTTTTTTTTTAAGTAGCTTTATATAGAGATATTTCCAGTCAAAAAACTGCAGCAGTGACTTTAAAGTGATAATTTCCCAGAACAGGTTTAGATGTCCCTTATAGGTTTTTACAATTCTACAGTAGGATTAAAACTGTCACAATCCCTAAAGATTTCATCTGTCTGGTCTTTTACTCAGTGGAAAAAAAAATCAGATTTTAATCAGGAAAAGATTGGTGAGCCTTTGGGGACTTTTTCAGACTACCACCACCCTGGAGGGGGTGTGTGAACGATCTGGGCGTCTGCCGAGGCTGTGTGAAGTGGCTGGCTGGCTGTGTTTGCAGTCGCCATGCCCCTTTTGGATGCCCCCTCCCCCCCTCTCTGTTTGGCTCGGCTTTTTCATCAGCGCTGCCTCCTCCTTTCTCCATTCTCTGCATGGCTGGACCTTTCTTCTTGGTGAACTTCTTCCTCAGCCCCCCATCGCTGCTGTGCACCCCCCTGCCTGACATCTGGCTCCATTCTAGCTTGGCTTCTGAATACCAAGCCTCCTCCAGCTGCAACCCCAGGGCCCCTGGACTTGCTGTTTCAGCCCCAGTTGCTTCGCTCATTGCCACCCACCATTGCCCCTGGAATACCATCTCGGACAGCACTCATTTAATTCATCACATTACGATGCCTTGGACTTTGGACGAGTGGGGGTATTCACAGCGAGCAGGGGGGCCCTCTGCCACCCCTCAGCCGCCCCAGACTTTTGGACCTTCCCAGGTCTATAGGAGAGGGGGGAAACAAGACATCCCCCTACATACCATCTACATATCTTTTATGGACTGTTGTTGGCTTTCTTTTGAATTACATCTTGATCTGGAGGGTGTGAGACTGCGAAGCTGTCACGTGTTAAAATCCGGCGTTCACGCCCTGCCCCCCCATCTATAACCACCTCACCCAACACGGACTTTGGACCTTTGGCCTTGGGTGCCTTTTCGGGACTCGGAGGAAGGGAGAGGGGCGGAGCAGCTCTCCCTCCTCCCTCCACACCATTGACTGTCTTAAACCGCACTAGCGCAGTGCTCCACAAATTTTATGAATGTGGTGTGAATGGTGTGCCTGTTTGATGTCTGTACCCACTTTTTAAATCTCATTATTGTTGTATTTTCTGTGTTTTAACTGACTTACATGGGGAACGTATGGATGAGTGGTTGTGTATGTATGAGAGGATTGGGAATACAGCCTGGTGCCTCCTCCACTGAGTGCTATTGCAGAAGTGGTAGGGGGCCCAGGCCTATCTCCCGTCCTAGAATGACTGATATAAATTGCTTGCCGGAAGGAGCGGAGGCTGTGAGAGGGGAAATGGGGTCTACGGGTACGGGGGTGGGCCGGAGCATTATGGTCACTATGGGGAGAGGCAGGTATGATGGGAACTTCAGGGCGAGCCATTACCGGGGAAGGAAGGTTCGCTACATCACAGCGGTCCCTCCTTCCGGCCCTGTTAGTAACTTGTCGGGTGTGAGTCCTTGTTGGTGAAGTTG